GTGTGTAAACTGAATTATTGTTATCATTCAACAGAACTGGTATGCGGATAACATTGCTCAGTCTATGATGCTCCGCGGGTTACCCAGAGGTGGAGAGAACACGAAGTGAAAGGCAAACGATCGGAACGCAGATCATTCATTTGGCAGATCAGAGCGAGGAAAATAAAGAAACAACATGACTGAATCACATTGATGCTCGAAACGGTGAATGGAATCGAAAACGGAATTGGTGGAAGAGCGATCGATCTTCGTGTGTGTGTGTGTGTGTGTATGTGAATTACGTTCCATCCGGACCCGGAAAATCCAGTATGCGATCAAAATGACCGGCAGAGTGAAGTTCGCAGCGAATGATTTTTGAGTGAAATTCGAAACAGCCTGAAAAAGGAAAAACGGTTAAGGAGTTAATCTGGGCATTGAAAGGCAGTTGAAAAAAGTGGAACTAAGAAAAACACTCGCTTACAAAGACACCGGCTCTAAGAGTATTCGCAAGACTGATGGAAGAATTAATTGATCATCCTTCCGGTCTGCCAACAACGATATAACTTCAAAAATAAACGCGGAATTCGATGAGAAATTTCTTATCAAGACAAGGCAGTTCTTACGTGCTGTTTCCAATCACGCAACACTTCGGTGTGTGTGTACGAGTTCAACAATTGTTAAAGTCTGTATCACATTTACAACCCAAGAAGGTGACATCGGTACCATGGTTAGAAGACCGTCGTATTGATGATAGACTTCAGTGGGTTGGAGGTTATATCAAGTGGGCTTCTAAGTGAAACGGTGGGATATTAATGCCTCTATAGATAGAGCGCACCCTACTGACATTTGGTTGCGGTATCGCACCATGAAGACCAGCTTAATTCTGAGAAAGGGATAACAGGATTAAGTAATAATGACTGACCTAAGGTGTGTGGGTGGATGGGTGTGGCTGAGCCGCGGAGAAATGGTTTGAGATACCGCTGAACCGGGTTTGACAGCCAAACTGAGAATGAACCCTAATCGCGCAATCCACCGGACTAATCCGCGCCATCCAAGCCTTTGGTAGCTTCCTTGATCACAGTGCCCGTGGGTACAGCACCTGGTGTGGAACTGACTTGTGTTGCTGTCGAGTTGTCTGGAGCTATGGCCAATTCAGGCATATCACCCAGTCCACCTTGGGGATTAGCGGAAGTGATTGCCCTGGCTACGGCCTCCGCCTCGTTTTGTAAGCGACTGATACGATGACAGAGCATAGCCAAACTCACGTCCGCTTCGTTGGAGCATTGATGAGCACTAGTGATCAGTTGTGCATTTACCTCGGATAACGCTGAATCGGAAGGGAGCCAATAGATTGGATGTCAGGGGTCAATTAAATTATGGAACAGGAAATGTATGGGGAGGAATTTTTAAGATAATTTGAATGGTTGCACTAAACGTGAAACGTTTGTGAAAGCCGATCAGCAAGTATAATCTATGAAGCTACCGTAACTCAGATAACAGGAAACCTCGGTCTTTGGCTTTAACGCCCCTTGCACTGAGCACACAAACATAGAACCGGTTATCTGGGTGTCAAACAGGTAATGCATTTGATTCAATCGACATTTGCAGAATCATTCGAACTCATGCACCCCTTATTGAATTATCCATGCTATACACACGCATACAAACACAGACGTGATCTACTTATTTCTATCTCCTTGATTCATGTAGTTTTCGCGACCTATAAAAGAATGCATGCGGAAGCTAGTGGACATGAATAACCATTGATTACCAGAATCATGAAAAATACGGCGATCAATGCAATGGGTGCAACCAGATTGAAAAACCGAGGCTTATATTGATAAGCGAGAACAGTAGAAAGAAAGATAAACAGTGCATAATGGTAATCTTGCAAAGACAAAAAGCCCTGACTTTGGAAGGATAACAGGGGTACACTGCGGTTGGGCAATCTTATTGAATTGGATTGGTGATCAAAGTTGAGCAGCCACAACAATAGACACAAATGAGTACCACATGATGGAATTTATGAACAGAACGAGATCTATGGAGTTGATCACCCACAGATATTAAGGAGAAATTCAAAGGAGAAAACGGGCGATCAGATTGNAAATATCTTGTGATTTAGCCATAAATACGTTTTTTTCCTCTGACAATCTCGTTGTGATCGAGTCAAACAGCTAATCGAGCGATTAAAAACGGATACTGTTTCATCCGAACTGGACAATCGGATGCCATTTAGACTAATCCATCTATATAGCTTATATTGCTAGCTCATGTTTTTGGATTTCTATGCTTTCAGTGATCAGCCTTGTTTCGTATACCAGTTAATCGTCCATCTACGGAAATTATCGGAACTTCGCTTAACGGGTTTTGCTAGAAGCCTCTTCGGTTGGTTTAAACAGCGGGCTGTAAGTCGTAAAGTATTGGATTTCATGATGCACACATTAATACATAGACTGTTCTCATAAATGGGTGCACTACAAAACGAACTAGTATCACTGCTGTGCATGTCACCGATTAGATAGCCACGGTGCGTGCTGTTTGCCGAGGTAATTGTTGAGTGGAAAAAAGTTAAGAGTAGTTAAATTCAGATCTGGTTTGAAGGTATGAAAACCCTTACCAGGAGACGTGCTCGCATAGGCCACGTCAGGCTACCTGGACGGGGATATCGAGGTCAGCACAGTCTCTGGTCAGATACAAGGACTGATATGGCTGCGTTTCGTAAACAATGACGCTCGTACATCTGCCGATTATTCCTGCAAAGGTAGCCTTCGTGAATTCTGCTTTCACTGTCACTGATTTGAATATCCCAATTATCTTACTCCTCTATCCAAATGGGAATTATTGATAGCAACCAAAACCGGTGCACGAAATAGTGGTTGTTAAAACTGCAACTGAGTATCAATGCTTTTTTTATACGCGTTCTTTGTAAATATCAGTCGAGAAATCCAGTACGTGTGAGACAATTTTTGATTAAGTCTCAAACTTTAGTGTCTCAGTTGCCGAAGGACGTAAAATATTCTTAATATTGGGTCAGCTAATTGATAGTATTCGTACGTAGCTTTGAGCAGTTGTGGATCTCTCATGACTTCTGAAGTACCATCACGATGAGACTGCACCTTGACGTGGTGTGATGCCTTGTGCCTTCTCTGACCCAACGAGTTACACAGGGTGGCTTTTGTCAAGCCAAAGATCTAATCATGCATGAAAGGTCGAACAAGTACAGTCTCGTGGTCCTCTAGGTTGGGGGTTCGACCAGAATTTACGTTTCAGTCGGTAAAGAATGGCAGAGGAGTAACTGATCCAAGTAAATGGGCCTCCACTTCGCATCACCCGCTGCCTTGGGGCTAGGTTCCTGTCAGAACTAAAGGCTTTGGTTGAGAACCCTAATCGTTCTCCTACTTAGTGTCTAGACACCTTAGCAGTAGTACTCGTCCATCAAATCCCAGTGCACATGCATTGTGAGTTTGGCAGCTGTCAGTGAAGTTTGCTTCTCTATATTTTGCTGTACGATGATGATGATGGGGAAGAGGTAAATCCAATAATCGAGCCAGATGACAGGATGAAAGCACCAAAAGACTGTGGTGTTGGAAAAAAAGGGAAATGGACAGACCACCGTTCTGTCATTCCAAACACCAACTCCTCGAAATACGGAGAGACTAGATGGTAGAGTACACGATGACATGTTCATTGTAATGTTCGTGATGGACAACGATTATTCAATAAGGATAGCTCACAGGATGCAAGCCAACGGCCAGATAAGGCAGGTAAACGGGCATTAAAAAAATGACGAGCGGCTAGCAACAAGACATGACAAACACAAACCCTGAATCCAGAAAACGCAAAGCATCGAGACAAAAGTGAGTAGACAAACAAAAAAATTCAATCCGGATTATGTATGAGCACGGACAAGGACGGATTGACGGGAACATACTCGGTGGGATTTCTGTACCCGATGGGACTGTATCCGGGAATGGATGGTTCAACCTGTTCGGTGATTCAGCGGATGGAGTAGTTCCTTGAGCGTTGTCTTTTAGAGAGTTCGATTTCAGTGGGTTTGTCCTATGGTGTGGGGGAGAATAAGTGGAAGAGGAGGAGGAGGAGGAGATGAGTTAAAAATCATTGGACTTGGGAATGCAGGGAGAGAAAAGTTTTACGCGCACACAAAGCAGTATCATCATGGGGTATTATTCACACTAGTGAGTAATATGTTTGGTGCGCGCAAGTGAAGAGGCAGTTGGCGGATTCTCACGGTATTCAAAAATGCACAGGGTATCCGGGAAAAGATTAGTGGGTTTATTATTATAATAAAAGAAGATACAAACAAAACTGTTTGACCAGTGATAAGGAGTCTTTCATTACACGGTGAACTGTCTCTTTTAGAGTGGATGTTTTGCTCTATGCAGCCCGAGTTACGCAGTTCCCATGTGAATTTTGAAAACAAAAACGTCGCAGTTCGGTACCAGGCTTGTGGATTTATAACCGTTTACCGGTTTTTAGAGACGACTAGAATTCCGTGGACATTTAGTGGGAGCGTAAAAATGGAGATATTCGAAAACGTAGAGATTGCATCGTGTTGTTGCTGGCAGAGAGCAACAGGTCTTGCCAGAGAGATTTCAGTGCCAGGGTATAGGATCACTGATGCGTAGTGGATCTCTTCAGATTCTAAATGGACCAATAGGCCCTTTATGTGCAGACCAGTCACTCTTTCGGGCAGGTAAGCTGCATAAAGAATAAATGATATACGATCATCTTGCACATTAGGTCGAAGCAGAAGATTCGAACCACTTGCCTGTACACAGGGGAACGAAAAGTAACCAGAATCCTCGTGGTACAACCGAATGAGCATCAGCGAATAGAACAATTGTAATGACAACCAGTTATAGAACTGTTTGCATGATCACCAAGGCCTACTTACTGATTTCGCTGAAGTGAGAGGACGACGGCCCCACATCCAGGACTGGATCAGTGCCACAAACAGTGGCGCTCCAGTCAATAAATATCCTTGCACACTTAATCTACGGGAATTCCCCATTTTCTATTCAATACTGCTCACAAAATGCCAATCTTCTCTCTATTGTTTTAATCGAATAGACAGCTAAATGAAAGCAACAAAAAAGCGCCGCACGAATATGAATGATGGAGACTTACAGAACTTGAAACAAGTGGGTCGATGAACTACTAGCAGTTCAATAAGAGGAATTTTGGCCAAATCCTTGACTTTAAACCAACCAAGGGGAGGAGTACGAAACACCCAAAACTACCACGTTCTGTCGGTGGTCATCGGTTTCATTAGGCACCGAGGTGTGTGTGTGTGTGATCATCTTGGACGTTTGATGCCGTCCAAAGAGCGTATTATGCGACGGATACCGGTCCCCAATGGATTGTGGGTTTTCACACACCGTCGGACTTCAGCTAGCCGAACTCTCTGGTAGTGAACCCCCTGAGAAAATGCATCTACCATGGTCTGGAAAACCTATTACTATTCCACCCACTAGAAAATCATGAACTCATTTCTTTGGTACATCGTGATCTGTTTGACACAAAATCTAGAGGGAGCGTGAGGAAGAATTAGAAAGAAGGGGTAAGAGGACTATACAAATAGCTGCCTGGGGTCTCAGGGGCACGGCACACTTCGCGAGAGTCCACACCAGCGAGAGGGTTTTTCTTTGACCGCAGCCTTCAACCTTAAAGGTATTGGCCGAGAGCGTGACCGAAGCTCCCTTGTGTGGGAGCTTCTGGAACCTTGACACGCGAGACATTCGGGTTTCGGTTTACTGTTGTTCGCTGGTTCGTAGATTGACGACCAGCTTTTCGGGATCAACCCTTAGTTTCATGCACCCAATGAGACCAACGGGACAGCATCTGATTGGCTGGCGGTAGCGGTTTAATGAAGCGCGAAGACTTCTCCACCGCTTCTACGCCCATCTAGCAGGAGTTCTGACCGGTAAACTGGTCATCCCTACACAATCTAGACTCGAACACGTTGGAAATACATAAGAAAACAGAACAATTGGTCCAATCTCATTTATCATCAAATATTCGGGCTATCGGTTCTTAATCCGTTCTGAATATTGGCGTCAAGGACGGGCATTTGCTCTTATTGTATGTGAAAGGCGTGCGAGGTAATAAGGACTTTTAGTTAATCAATTTTCATCTATTAGCTCAATAGAAAATCATGGAAGGGATCCGACCAACCTGGAGAATTCCTCTTCCAATAACGAGGTAGACATATGGTTAGTTCGAGTGCCTCCAGCCTCTCCATGGGCGGATTCAGAANTTGTTGGCAACCCCGAGGCGAATTGAGTTTCCGATGAACTGTTAGTTAGTGCACCGGCACGGCGATTATCCACCATCGGGCCCGTACGAAGTTTATTACGTGCGGAATGAGAACCGGCTGGCAACGGTTTCCGACCGAGCCCCGGATGTACAGTGAATGCCGAAAGTCGTGCGGCGGTGATTGGGAGTGCAGTGGAATTGGTGCTGGAACTGGCAGCAGCCATGTTGCTCATAGCCATCCGGGGTGAGCTATTCGCGAATTTGGGTTTAGTTACGGACCACGGTGCAGTTGTTGTGGGTGCGGATGGAGCGACTGAGCCTGTTGTTGAGTTAGGTTTAATCTGACTCAGTGGTCCGGTACTGAATAACGAGGCCAGAAGAGATTCGTGCTCGGAGGATTCCGTAAGCGACTGAAGTGTGTCCGCATGTTCACTAACATCACGATCACCTGGAATGAAGTGCATGAAAACTAATTGGTAGTACGTCAACGATTGATCCAATTTTGGTATTCAAACAACAAAAGTACAAAACAAAATGAACGGTCTCTAAATGATGAACACTCACAACTACCACACAAGTATAGTGTCCGCGAAAACCGCTGTATTTATCGACTGCAGTACACCTGTGAATCGCAGTGCGTCGCAGCTACTGAACGTTGACTGTCGACCGGGATGAATGCACACATTCCGGATAATCCACTGTCTGCTCGAGGCGGGAGGATTCTGGCAAAGGTAGCTGCATGTCATCTGTTGGAGACAGGACATCACATCGACCAAACTACAGCTTTTCTTGGCATTAAAAAAGCGGCTCAAATTGGCAGAATGTTTAATAACTAACTAAGTATTCAAAGCCTGATCAGAAACGCCTTTCTGATGCACTGATACTATCTTGGAATCTTGCTGTCATGCATATTGATTCCCGAACACATGCGCCAACCTTTTGAGCCTCCAGCTGACGACTTGCTATCACAAATTGACAAAGTTTCGCTTCTTCCCTTCCTGATACATTTTCCAATTACATATTATTCGCTTTTCTTTCCTCTAATTGTTTGAAATTCACTGAATGATGCGATTTACGTTTCTGATTCCTAAAGTGCCTTTCAGTGCTGACTGTTCGACTGTTAACCAACCCTTCCGTGCACAAAAATCGACTAGGATCTACACTGGTTTTCCTCTCTGATGTAAGTATACAAATATAGGTCAACAGAGTGATGAGACAACGTGGAATTGATGAATAATATCCGTTTTTCCAGTTTGCTTTGCATTGATGAACCAAAAGCTTTAAAAGTCTGGTGGTGTTTCCACGAAGTCGAAAGATCGCTTACACGGTGATAACCCAATCTGTTCTGTCTTGAAACCGTGTGTGTGATTATTGATAGCTGATGTTCACGTAGTTTGACAACTGAATGGGCTTCCATGAGTAGTAGCGAATTTGTGCACGCCTACAGCAGAGTACTCTGTATATGGTTGCAATGCCAGAGTTGAAAAAGTCACACGGAGGTCAACAGATGACACGGAACCAATGCATAAATAAAAAATGTACTGATAGATTGCGCACAGTAGATGTTTCTTGTGTTCCAAGCTAGTGGCCCAAAGATCCCGTAATCAGCAGGTTGGAGGCACTGTACGACGTTGGAGTAAACAGATAGCATTGTTTTTTTCGTCATTTCTTATCAGGCTGTTTGAAGTGCCCACTGCACAAACGAGTAATATGCAGGCAGCTAACATGTGAGTTAATGGATACGATTCCCATATGCGGCAATGGTTTCGCGCTGCTAATGAGGCCCAACCAGGTCGAAACAGCTATATAACACAGTTCGCGCTTCGTTCGCTCTGTACATGGCGAAAATCACTGTTTAATCGAATGTGTCAGGTTTAGTTGTTTTGGTGACGTCACACCCAAGATCTCATTATCATGTCGTACAAAATTGTGGTATTCGGAAAAGAAATCGGAATCGAATAGCACGAACTCGGATTCGGATTGAAAACTCACTAAATAGCGCAAATTTCGGTAGAACTAAGACGAGCGGTGGATACAGTTAATTCTATTCGAAATTTCATGCAAATAACTATCACATGCATCGAACAATCATTGGTCGATTCTTCAATGTCCAATCGACAACGATATGGTTCATTTGTTTGTTTTCTCACATTTGGCCAATCTGGTCGGTGCCACTTGAGACCACAGGATTGGTCGGGAAATCCGTTACTTGATTGGCTACCTGGAAGCTGTACCATTGTGCGTGCGTAGTCATTGCACGAGCGCCACAAAAATGTTCCCCTTTCTCTCTCTCCTCCGCCTCCTTCACTATCCACCAGCACCTAAGTTCAAGTTCACTGCAACCACATCTGATCACGTCACTTACAAGTCCACCGCCCTGAACAAATGATTTGTTTTGACTGTCATGTTTCTTGCTATGATACGGTTCAGGAATGCGCGTTAGCAGAAGAATGAAATCGATAACTGTAATATCAGTTCGGTTCACAGATGACTTCGCATTGACGAGACAAGTTATTCTTTTGGAACGAGAATCCGAATTGAATTTTCGAAACAGAGACAAAACATGAGGACGCAAAACGGTTTCTAACACCACAGAGACGTGCATACTGATCAGGCAAATTTCACGAGTAAGTGATTTTGATCACGCTTCCGAAGGTCACAGCATGGTCGGGGTGGGAGTCTTGGGTTGGGGCTGATCACCCTTCCCTTGCACCTAACGCAATGCTCCCATATGACTAAGCGTCTTCAAACGCCGCTGCTGAGGTGATGTTTTCCCACTAAGGTGAGGGGACCACAAGCCAATAGCCTGGGTTACAACCGGGTCGGTGAACAACTGACAGTTCACCTGGAGAAGTTGGCTAAAAACCTTGATTCCAAACCAACTAAAGGAGGCATACAAACCACACTCACCCACACCTGGTCGTGGTAGTGGTCACCGGCTCGATTGGG